ACATTAGAAATTATTTTTCAGTGAGTCTTCAGGCTGTATTGGTACAATTCGTCATTCCTCTTGTGCAAAACCTACACAGATGGACAAGGACGCTGCTTCTATGAGTCTTACTAGGCTTCAGAACCCTTGACAAGTCACTCAACATCGGATCCATCCTAATGTCGACTTCCAACCTACAAAAGGTAAAGAAATGATTTGGCAGGGCAAGCAAGAGTGGAAGAAGGACTGATCCATTTCAGCGAACAAACAGCTGAAAATTTATTCTTTATTTCATTTAATTAATTTTTTATTTACATTTACTTTATACCAGTTTTCAGCACACGTGGTCAGGCTTTTGGTTGTTATGGTCTCGCCTCTGCGACCCTTCTATTTACTTCCTTCGAGGAGGTGATTGTTTCGATTTTTGTGCTTCTAAGGCCATGTGTCCAAGGTCAGACCTGGAGATTTCAGCAAAGTCAGAAGAAAGCGGGTTGAAAAATTAGGTAACTAAGCGAACGCTCGCTGAGCCGAGTAACACTTTCTGTGATGCTGGGTTCTCCAACGGCTGTATGTACTTTATTGTACTCCACGGAAAACGAAATTATCATGGAGACCCGCTGTCAAGATGATTGATGTTCATGCCGTCAGAATAGGTGGGTCCTTTGCTCGGGAACGGAGATGATTCGGATTCGATTTGAAACACGAGGCGATATGAGACTATCTCTCACCTTTCGCTTGTCTGTTATCATAAGGGATTATTAGGACATCTCTTATGAGATACGATTAAATTTTGATTTCTTCGTGAACTATGCTTCCCCGGAACTCTTCTGATATCCCTTTCTTTCTTTGCTCTCAGAAATGTATTCCTGTTTTTGAGATCCGAAAAATTACTCGTGACCTTCTCCTGTGAACCCTGGCTATTTGACGGTCCTCTTTTTGGATTATCCTAACGCACCCTTATAGAAAAAACGCCGTCTGCGGATTGGAATGTAGCAATTTTCCACGACCCTCTATACCTCTAGTCGTAAACCAAATTAAGCGATTCGAGGGCAACCTCCTTTTCCTTATTAAGGTTTTCTTTCTGAAACGTGGTCGTTTCTTCAATCATTTTGAGCTTTCATAGTCCTGCTGTGGCCGAAGCGAATCTTTCTCTCACCTTCTTGACTGCTCCTGGACAAGGGACGCACTAACTATAGGGCACAAACCACTAAATAACTCTTTCAGATACATGTATGTTCGACTTTTCATTCTACTCCTAGCTGGAATTCAACTGAGTAAGTTTCAGTGCTCCATTAGTTTTGTTGGTGTCCATTTTAGTTCTTGAACCTTCACCCCATTACCTTGAGGCAGCGTCAGCAATCGAAGGGTCAGTGGAGTATTCTGAATACTGAGCAAGGCAATTATTATTAGGGTGTCCACAAAGTTCGTTGGCCATTTGTAAACAGCGTCGCGTTACGCAACGCGTTGTGATTTTGCATAAAGATTTCGCAATACTGAAAGTACTCGCGATGGGCTATCTTCTGAGCTAGCTAGCTCTAAATTTCCTTTCCTGATCTTTCCACAATAAAGCAGTGAAGATGAGTGATAGTTGCTGGACTACTACAATCTGGACATCTCCAGACGTCAGGCCACGACCAGGATGCGTCAGCAGTTTGGTGATAACACCCCTTCTAAGAACTGGATGTCAAAATGGGGGACTCGCTTCACCAATGGAAACTATGGCATCGAAGATATGCCGAGGTTTCTGGTTCTCTCGTCACGGCGTCGTCCACTATAGCACCCTACCCAACAATGCCACAGTGACGGCAGAGACCCTCTCTAAAGAATTACAGGAGGTCAAGGTGAAAGCTGCCGCCTTGTCCCAGAAACTTGCAAATCCGTGGTTGCTCTGGGACAACGCGCGCCCCCACAAAGCGAGAGATACTCAGGCCGTCCTGGACAGGCTGGGCATCAAGACGTTCACGCATCCACCATATAGCCCGGACATCAGTCTATGCGATTACCACATCTTCCGGTCCATGCGAAACTTCCTGGACGGAAAACAGCTGAAGAACGAGCGCGACCTCGAGGACGTGATCGAGGACTTGGGCGAGTCGCGGCTGGCCGGCTTCTGAGAGGATGGAGTTGCCTCTCTACCCGATCGTTGGCGAAAGGTGGTGGGTATGCATGGAGATTATATCATGGACCGGTAAGTTCAACTTGGTGAGTTATCTTCATAAGCTCTGCAAAAAACGAATGGCCAACGAACTTTGTGGACACCCTAATACTTTGACTCAATTTGGCAGGTAGTTTTTTATGACAACACACTTCAAACGCCGCAGTTCTGCCTCGGAACTCACAGGAAGAGTTATGGGCAGAAGTCTTGATTCTTTCAGGACTCAAACACCCCGCATCACACACTTCGAATTTTAGCAATTTTATTCGCTGCTATGTAAGAACCATAACAACAACGAAAAAATGTAATTAACCGTGATATTATTATTAAGAACGTTGAAAGAGGACAGTAGTATAAAAATCTCGGAAGGGAACCTAGGAACTGCCTTTCTTCCTTTTGAGTGGTGCTAATGCCCCCTAATCGAACCTATACCTTCTCCGAAAAATAAGATAGATCACTCCGACAGTAGCTCTATAGCGGATTATTTCATTCTCGATTGTCTCCGCAGCTACTACTGGCAGGGTACAGAAAGTGAGTGTGAAACGCGGTGTTCTCAATACACCCCCTCCCTTGAGGAGGTCTCGGTAGGATCCCCTTCTCGGTAAGACCCCTATCGGTGCGATCCCCCTTTTTCCAATACTTATCTGCCACTTTCCTTCGTGTTCCCAGCTCCTTTTTTTTCCAAAATTCCCCCGAAAATTTGATAATTCCTCCTCAAAATTTTCCGTTGAGCGAAGGGTCGACAACCGGGAAATTTTTTCCCAACGCCGCAATTTCTCTCAAAGGCACATACAAGTCCCCTTCTCCCAACAACGGCCGAATGCGACCCCCTCCTCCCAAGTACGACCCCCATGTGTTCCGTGTTACGATGCAGTACCCTATCTACTAGAAAGGAAATCAAAGTGGCTTGCAAGGGTTACCATTTCCCAGACCACGACTGTTCAGCTCACAAGCTCGAACGACATGCAAGGCAGAAGCTGAAACACTCCCAAGGAACAGAAAAAGTGTGAAGGCCAACACGAAGCGATGCAGAGATCCTGTGTGCTCTCAATGACGATCTCTGAAGGACAATTAGGTTCAAGTCTTTATCCGTTATCTATCCAGGAACACGTGAAGTTGTTTGAGTGTCCATGCCCTGCAGGTCACTGGAAAAAGTCTCAAAATGCTTAGGAGTGTAGCACCGATGAAAAGCTAGGGATCGAGAGCCCACGTTCTTACTCCTGAGCCCTGAACTGCAATATGGTCATCGAACGATTTGTGTTGGCACGCTACTGAGACATTCTCTTCCCTCAACGAGAAGGTGTTCAGCGTGGAGTCAATGTTCGATGCACAGAGCATCATCTGGAGAGGCCAGATTGAGGGAGGGACTTTATGAACCTATGAAGGGCCGAGAGAAACATCGTTTGTTGCACAACCACCCAGGAAGAAGAGCTTCCACTAATTTTCAAACAGAAGATGCCCAAGTGAAATTATAAATCCACTGAGAAAGCGCGTTAGAGAGAAGATTCTTCTCGTTAGAGGAGATTCTTTGTCTGGTTCTAAACCGCTCAAGCTTGACCAGAGTCAGCACGATCTCAGAAGTGGAAGGTGCCTCAGCACGGGCGCTAAGACAGCCAACCAGCCGTCATCAGTGTCCTGGACAAGCTATACAACAGCTCCTATCTGGGGCAATTATTCTGTGTAGTCCCTCTTATGAAGCAAGATCTACCCTAGCAGGGTTTGTTTCCCCGCTTGATATTCCACAGTTCACCTCACGTTGCCGACTGAAAATGAAGGCTTCTGCTGAATTATCGTTCCCTATTTTCTACTCCTTTTACATACTTCCTTACGCTACCATATCAGTTGATACGTTACGTTCTAATTGTGACAATCATATACATTCCTTATCCCTGAGACGGAGTAGGCGTGGCAGTTGAGCAATGCTTAATGGGTCACTGGTGGGATGTTTCAGTCTGAGACAACTTTCAGCCTGTTCTGTATTGGACAGAGACACTACCACAGTTGTGTCAGAAATAAAAACATCTCTTTAAAAGCACAGCCACCGCCACGGAGAGTTGAGGAATGCAGCCATATCTCAGCGATTTCGAGTGTAATTGCCTGTTCCGCATTCCTGCGCTACACTATGTAATGAGTGCAGGCGCTGCACTATATAATGAGTGCAGTGCCGCTTTCGTCTGATATCATCGTCTAATGCCCCTTATCGTCACGTCATAATCCATCATGAGCTAAATATAGAGGCCAAGAATCAGTTGAAGGCGACAGGAGTAAGGCAAGTCATCGAGCTCCTCCCGTGCTTTCTATCACCAAGGCACGGATTGCATAAGAAAACAAAAGAATTTTCAGGAAACACCGGGTGTTTGCCAATCGGCAACCCTTCTCGCTTGTTTTCGGTTGTGATATTACAAAAACATTTCTATCTTTTCATATCAGTGAAGGTTTCTTTTCTGGTTCCCTAGCGGAGAAACAGAGACGAGCAGAGTTGGAATCAGCTGGTCCCAAGCATGATTCTCAGTGACTCTGGGCATTCACCAGAACTACATACATAAAAAAATATGCAATGTCAGAGGGTTCCTGAGCTTCATTATTTCATAAGTCTTCTTTGTGATGGATAAAATAAAACCCTTTCCAGTTCTTTATACCACTGGACTGGAAAGAGTTTCATTATATCCATCACAAAAAAATATGTAGTTGTCATACAAAGGAGTAGAATGCGTGGCCCATCCCCAGTCGAGGTCAACCAGCAACTATCTTATCCTTTCAGTGCTAGAACCTGAAAAGTTCCAAAATACTAGCTAATGAATAGTGAAGGAATATGAATATGAAGAGAGTATGAAAAAGTAACTGAATATTACAGGTGAGAACCGACTGGTTGGCAGACGAGACTTCGATAAAGTGAAATTGGACAAGGAAGGTTTTGAAAAAGTGCGCACCATTCACTACAATTGGTATCTGCATTCCATAAAGGCAATCATGGGGCAGCTTGGAAAAGACGTGCTTCCTAAACTGAAGCCGAGTAAGTAATCATTGATTTTATTGATTTCTTTCCCACAGCCTTCTTTCCTTATCCTCACTGACATCTGCTTTTCACACTTTCGCACATTTTTTGATTGTCAGTATGTTCTGTAAGAGATCTAGATGACGAATAGAAAATAAGGCCCATAGTCGAAAACATCACAGTCAGTCGCGCTGTTTCCACAGGGATGGAACGAGCTCACATGGGTATGTGACAAGAGGATCGTAATTTGCCGCGCTGCTGGGCGGCGTGCGACGTCGCGCCGGCAAAGGACGATGGTTTCAGGCAGTAGATGGCGACAACATGCAATTAAGGACCGAAAACAGTAATGAGTGTCTACGATGACGGGGTCTACATGAAGTCCGGTGCTTCATTCGACAGGTTAAAACGAGTTATGAAAACGCCGCGCCCATCGCCGCGCGTGGCGGTGCGGCGAATTACGATCCTCTTTACCGTCTCCCAGCCCACCCGCTTTCCACCACTGGTTATTTTTAACTTTGTCATGAGTTTGTACTTCAGTTTAATGACCTCGTTCTATTCAGGTAGCCGAAAACAATTCTTGCGATGTCTAAACAGCATTGTCGACAAGAGAGATTTGGTGAGCGCTGCAAAGTGCCTTATCGAAGCCAAGGAGAAGCTGGATCACGAGAAAATGCATCGTACCAAATTCTCGATGTCAATGGTAAAGGAAGACAGGTATTATCATACATCACTTTTCTTGTAAACTCAGATGTTTTTCAGTGATTTCGAGCAAAAAAAATACTCTAGAAAGGGGCTGAAGGCAGTGGGATACGATAGTCCCGATAGGCGCTCAAGATGAACAGGCTTAGCGCAACAGGAGCATCGATATGGGAGAGGATGGGATACTGCCCTGCTGCTTACTCTCCGGCACACCCCGGGCGAAGAAAAATGAAACAAATTCCCACGATAGCTGCTTGTCATTAACGACATCGCTTGCGGAGCAACTTGAACGCCGTGCGCTGCTACAAAGACCGAAACGGAGATGGAACAAGGACGGCAGCTAGCTCGGGCATTAGGGGGTGGAGCAGTGGATGGGACGTTTTGAATCGAAATGTGAAATCAAATCAAATGTGAAATCACATTCTATATGCCGGAAATAGACCCGGTTGCGTTCCTCATTTTATCCTGGCATAGGAGGCGCTTTTTATGGAAGATTTCCATGAGCGACTCCTCATCTGTTCTATGCTGGATGAGGACGTGATCAGGATTGCTGCAAAACGCGAATGTCTCGCCCAAACCGCAGCCGCCGCCACGTTCTAAAGCACGCGGCCAGCCACGCCCTCCACACCCTTGAGATATGGAGTGTGCATAGATTTTGCCCTTTCGTCGCGGATGCGCTTTTCGTTACGGGATGTGCTGCACATTGCCATAGTTCATTTCCCTTTTCATATTTATTTGCCCCTACATATGTTTTCTAGTAATTTCCCTCTAAGCAAAATATCGTACCCGCAGCCTTCAGAAGTTCAGTCCTTCAGTTCAATACAACAGCAGGAACATTGCAGAGCCAGTCATGACCCCGATACAGCGATAAACACTTCGTTTGTACTGGAACCACAGAAAGTTGCACGAAGGCGATCGCTCAGGAGAAAACCGAAGATCAACCGTATAACGGAATCATGGCGCCTTTTGCCTACTCCGCAAAATTCTCGCTTTTTCCTATCTGAACAAGAAGTTTGGAAAGAATTACAAGGTAAGCCTAGAAAGTACGTTTTGCACCTGAATTTACAAGCTAAAAAAACGCACACAAGTTGTAAATGTACTTATTTTTATGCCTCAATCCGACAAACAAAACACAACGAGGATAAATTGAATGTTGTGTAAACGACATAGCCCGTATCGCCGGACTTCGACTGGGCGGGGAAAAGGGCGGGCAATAGGTCAAGTGGCTATGTATCCTTCATCGGTAATTCCAAAAAGAAAGGACGAGCGCGCTAGTGAGGAGTCCACGATGGTTTACCGTCTCCACCCACACCATCAAGATAGAATGCACCTTCAATAAGCGATTGGGCGATTTGGAACTTTCATTGAAGAATCTTGTCAAGCATCGCTGGATCTGTCCGTTTCGTGAATGCTTTTCCCGAATATAAAATCAGCAGAATCGCACCTCACAGAAAGGTATTTTTTGGTCCCGCATGTTCTCTTTCAATCTGCGTTTCGATGACCTCCCATAGGTTTCTCACCAACGTATGCGACCCTCCCCAAAAAAAAAAGGAATTTGCGCTTGCATCACTGAAGCAATTTATGCAATCTTCCCAACTCAACCGCCCTCCTCTTCCGATGGCTGCGACGAGCATTATAGCCGCTTTCAACGTTGATCAGTTCAACTATGGGATTTTTGGGGCATTTTTGGAACATTTTTGGGGATTCTGGGACATCAAAGAAAGTAGTCTACTCCAGAAGGATCAAAGGCTTGATTGGCTCCATCGGAGCAGGATCAGAATTTGACCTCGATATCGTGTGGGTGGTCAGCGATGTTTCCTCCATCCTTACTGCCGATAAACAACATTTACCTTTGCCTTGTCACATATCCTATAATTCAAGGCCTACACAAATACTTTTTAGCTTATCACGAGGAAACCTGGCACCAAAGTGATCAAGTATCGCGGTAGGAGGAGAGTGAAACGAGCTCTTCGTCGCCTGGTTCTCGATAACGTCGGAAAAAGTGATTCAAGTGGATTCCAGGCAAAACACTTTCTTAGAACTTTTCTAATTGACACCACCCAACTCCACAGCTAAAACTGCTTTGTTAAGGTGGTCAATATGGATAGGGCACCAGCTCTACTACCTGAGCGGGGTAAGTCAGTAGCAAACAGATTAACACGCATGGTAACAACTCTGGTGCGTGGTGAAACTGACAGGTGGACTAAAAATGGGTATGAGTTGTACAAAGCTTGTTTCAGCTAATTATGCGTATAGCCAAAGTCATCTGTCTTAGGCTGTTTCAGAAAATCAAAGTGGATGGACAGCTACAAAAATCTTCTCAGCATCAAAAAAGCCCTTGATGAGCGAGCAAAGCAGCCTGGAGCAAAGGTTAGAATTGTTGAATGAATT